ATATGAGGCAGGAACTCATGGTAACGCCATCCACTGGAGAAATTTTATCAAAATACTATTTAACAAATTTACCCATTTGGAAGTATGTCCATGTATTATTTTATGGGTATTTTGAAATTACATGAGGAGGTACAGGAAAAGTGTTAGATCGTTAATTCCTCATGGCTAATTTGATCATTTATCTTTTATTATACAAAGAGAATGTATTTTTTTGGTATAAGGAAATTATAATAAGTCTGATCTCTTAGATTTTAAATTAGATTATTGTAAAAGTATAAAAGTGTCACAAAAAAAAAAAGGTTTTATGACTAGCCCAAACCATGCAATTTCACAGATTTTAAATTAGATTATTGTAAAAGTATAAAAGTGTCACCAAAAAAAAAAAGGTTTTATGACTAGCCCAAACCATGCAATTTTCACATGTAATGAGTGATTGTGACCTTCTCGGAACAAAGATGAGATAATTGCTGTAAAATCCCTAAACCCTAAAATCCAAGATAATCCAACCTCGTCTATTGTCTTGTTCTGAAAGAACACTTGGCCAGTTCCAACCACAATCCTGCCTAATCAATTCTAGAGATAAGGCAACCTCCAGAAGAGAGAAAGAGAGAGAGAAGAGTGTGATCAGCCACTGGGAATGGAGGAGAGAGGCATGGCCAAGGTAGCCCAACACATCTGCAACCGCATCCAATCCGTCTTCCAAGAGAGTTCAACCCCTAACCTCCACCACCCAACCCCCCTCGATGCGCTTGTGGCGGAGCTTTCGGCCCATGCCACCCGCGGGGCGCGAGTCGTGGTTCATGGTGTGGGACGCGAGGGCCTCATGATGCGGGCCTTTGCGATGCGCCTCGCCCACCTCGGCATGCAGTCCCACTGCGTCGGCGACGTCACGTGCCCGTGCGTAGGCGAGGGGGACCTCTTGATCGCGAGTGCTGGGCCGGGCGGCTTCTCAACTGTGAACGCGATCTGCACGGTGGCAAGGGAGGCAGGGGCGCGAGTGATGGTGATCACGGCGCAGCCCGAGGGGCAGGCCGCGGGGCTTGCCGATAGAGTGGTGGTGGTGCCGGCGCGAACTATGGCAGATGATGAGGATGATAAATTTGGGGGAGATGAAGAGGTGTTGATGATGGGGAGCTTGTATGAGGGGGCTCTGTTTGTGTTATTTGAGATGGTGGTGTTTAGGGTTTCCAAGGTCCTTGGGCAGACACCTGATGCCATTAGAGCCAGGCACACCAACCTTGAGTAGACTGTTTACCTCACTTGTATATACATTTCCTTCCTCTCTTTTGTGCTTTGGGTCTTCTCCCCAGTTAGTTAGTGCTCCTCTCTGGGTGGTGATTTTTTGGACCCTGGACCCAACTCCGGTCTAGGGTTTTGGACCGGGATCCCACCCAAAACTTGGATTCGGACCTGACCCTGTCCTAACTCGGCTCTATGGTTTTGGATCCGAACCCTACCGACCGGGTCCAAAAAATTGGGCCCAATCCGATTGCCACCCCTACTAATGATTTGGTTGTATGGGGTCTCTCCTTCATTTGGGTTTCTCTTCCTTTGGTCTCTCTTATTTGGGTGTTCTGTTTGTTTGTCTCTGTTATTTGGGTTTCTTATTAGGTTTGTATTTGATGTGTTTTTATTTGATTTCTTGTTGGTTCTCTCTCATCTGGGTTCTCAGTTAATCTCTTCTATCTGGGTTCTTTGTTGGGTTTCTCTTTTATTTGCTTTCCTGGTAAGGTTCCTCCTCCTTTTCCTTGTCTCCTTCAATTTGGGTTCCTTCTTGGGTTTTTCTTCCTTTTCTCACACTTGTTTAGGTCATCTTTAGGTTCTCTTCCTTTGGTATCTGTGTTGCTTGGTTCATTTTTTCTTAGTTATCTGGACATATCATGGACTTGTGGATCTCCCTCTCTGTCTGGTCTTTTTATTCCCTCTATCTATGGGGTGCTTGATATGTCTATGGCATTCCCACCTTCCCCAGTCCTGTTTCTTTTTTTGGGTAATGAGGAACTCCTATTGTGTCTCTCACATATATCTTATACCAATTCCTATTCATGGATGTATATCATGTAAATGTTCTATATTTTTTGAATGAGACTTCATATATTTGGAGGCATATAAGCAGTGAGAACTCATACAAGGTGCTTGGCCACAAAGATTTTGGTTTTGTTGGATAATATTCTCTTAGAAAAAGTACATGTAAGATATTCTTGACAAACATTCAATTCTAATTTATGGAAATGTAATGTAATTTGATGCGGACCTCAAAATTTCTTTGGAAAATGCATTTCATGCAACCGAAAACCTCTTAATTGTTGGAAAATCTAATTCTGCCCAACTTGGAATTTGCAGTTCCAAAGATAATATAAATACGTTCAATATGAAATACTAGAAATGTAATTGTCAAAAAATCTATTTCTGCCCAACTTGGAATTTGCAGTTCCAAAGATAATATAAATATGTTCGATATGAAATACTAGAAATGGAAAGGGCAAAACTAGCATCGCAAGATGAACCATTTTTAGGGCTTACATCCATTTCCTATTTGATCCATGATCGTTGAGGTGAGGATCGATTTGCAAGTTCTCGGCAATAGAAGTGCTAAAGCCGCACCTTTACTAAACACTAATAGAAGTGTGATCTAATTGCAATGCTCGGGAGATTTTCTTCTCTTACATGCTATATAGAAATGTAATGGAAAGGTTTCCCCATTTTATTCTAGACATTTATCTCGAGGAACTTGAAAAACTATGCTTGGGTTTTGCCTAAAACAAACAAATGATTGGAAAAATAGGATGTCTTCTCATTCCATGAAGAAACTAAATCCATCTTTTCTCCTTTACATTGATGAGTTTAAGCCTTGAAATAGAGAAATCCAGAGCATGTCATTGAAACTCAACTGGGAACTGAATTAAAAAGAGTGGTTGCTGGTTACACCCCCTTCCCAGACTTCTTAAGCACCCTAATATTAATTTAGAACAAAACAATATTTGTACACAAAAGAGCTTAATTTTACATAACAATCAAATAAGCTTAATTTTACATAGAGTCAGATACAATTGTGGGGTTACATCTAGTATAAATAAAAGAACAAAAATGACTGCAAACAAACTGTCCAGTTGGCTATCTCAACAAGCTTCCGGTGACCTTGACCTATTCTCCACCCTTACCAATTCAAGTACGAAACCACTCTTGCTTGATTTCCATTTTGGTGAAACCAAAGCAATCCAGCTGATTCAATTTTAATGGCCTACTCGATACCACCATGATTGATTACTCAAGAGAAAATTGCATTCACAAACGCCTCAGCATCAAATGGTTGCAGGTCTTCAACTCCCTCACCAACACCAACGAATTTAACTGGAATTCCGAGTTCATCAACAACACTCGCCTGCAAGAACAAAGACTCAGGTCACATTCATCAATCAAATGGTTCAAAAATACCATCTATTTCATTTAGAGAAGTCTTAAGAGGTCCAGGAAAGCATACCACACAGCCCCCTCGAGCCGAGCCATCAAGTTTAGTAAGGATCAAACCGGTGATCCCCACCACCTGTAACCAACAGTTCATATCAACATGGCATCAAATCTACGCAACTTTCAGTTCATTTCAACACAATATGAATGGAAAGTTCTTGATCTGCAAAATGAGTCTCTCTCCAACTCAAACGAGCATTAAGGGAAGACATGGAGCAATTATTTTCCAAGGGGAACCAAGAACACATATAGGAGGTATGGTACCTCATTGAATTCCCTTGCCTGAGGGAGCATATTCAAACCAGTTGTTCCATCCAGTACTAGTAAGACTTCCTGCAACAGGAAACATGGAAACCATTTCTCTTCTCACTTCAGATATATGGATATGCATTCAGTCTTGATCATTGAAAGTAAGAATCTGATAAAAGTCACAGAAGATTTATAACCATGGAACTTTTCTGTCCATGCATGTTTCAGAAGGAAAACTCGGAATCAACCTCCATTCCAATTCCACGCATATTTGCCAAATGTAAGGGAATTTTTCTCTGTTTCTTTTTCTTTTTAGAAAACGTATAGTAACTCATTTTGCAATTCTCATTTTTTATTTTGATCAATTCTCTTCTAACATGCAAATAAGTCTAGCTGACAATTATATCCAAATTCTACTTGAAGGGGTGTTGCTTATAAGACCTTAGGTTGTCCCAGAATCTATTTGAGAAATGCAAAGATCTTATTTGAAGAGGCAATGCTGGAAACCAAGAAGAGTTACAGGTCCTTTCCAAACCATAAATAATGACCACCAATCACTAGGAATGAAATTTTCTGGCTCCCTTAATAAACTCTCAAAATGTTAAAAATATGGCCTGCATGCATGTGCAAATAAGCTGATGCCCAAGGCAGGGTTATCTGTGATGAAGGCGAAACACCTTTTTGACTAATTGGAGGAATCGCTAGTATGTTGCCTTTCATCATCATCATCCGAACTTATCCCAACTATTTGGGGTCACCTACATAAATCCTGTTCCGACCAATATGTTCCCTTTGTGCACATAAGAACAACAGAGCATTGTCATTATCAGTGAAATACGACAGCACCAAATGGCTTTCGCATATAAACCCATCTTGTGCAGCACTTGTATACAAATCTAGACAGGCATAAAATTAATATGCTCATCTCTTAGTGAGCTAGACCAGATAGAACCTTGGAAGGAACATCCATCCTAATCCTTGAGAATATATGCAGACCATATACTTCACAAACTCAAAATAAGCACATGTTTAATATTGCTGAGAAGGGATTTAAAAAATGCCTTTGCTGAAAATTGTTTGAGTACTCTTCTGATATATAACAATTTTTTGTCATTTTTTTTTAAAAAGTAGTTGTCTAGGCACACTTAAGCATCACTGCTGTACTCTATGCTATTGATAATCCTACTTGCAGGTGCTTACGTAGTGGGAAACCATGCTCAATATCAAATATTTGAGCAATTTTAATGGGTTATTTCATATGAAATTATGAATTAAAAGGCCTTCTGGTTGTCACCCAAAGAGGATAGAAAAAATTTCTGTTAAGACAATGATAGTGCTAATTTTCTTGATCTCACAAACGATAGGAGCAAATATAACCTTAACTAGGCCAAATATATTATGGGTGGTTTGTATAAGGCTGAGACCCCAAACAACCAAAGTAGGGCACACATTCAAATTGTGTCGAAAGATGTTTTAGTATTGGAAATCTTTGTGATAGCCTCAAAATTTATTTTCATCTCTAATTATAAGATTTAATGCTCCAAAAATAGTGTGGATCAAGCAGATTTATAGACGCTTGAGACTCTTGAAATGTACCGGTGCAGAAAATGCATTACAAGATGCACTATTTCCATAACTTGAAATCCATTTTTTCATATCCATACATCTTGAGGTCGAGATGATCGATTTGAAGATTTTTGGGTATCGAAACAACCTCTTCTAGTGAATTTTTGAGGCGCACCTTAATGACGCATAGAAGAATAAACCTTGGACCATACCCATAAGATTGCTTCTTTTTAATGGAAATAAAAGTTTAGTGAAACTAAAAACATGAATAAAAAAAAAGGGATCTTGGAATATTATCTAATAAAAGAATAGTTGGAATTAGGGACTCGAGACCAGGAAGAGAACAAATGGTGGGATCAAGAAGATCTTAGACCAGATACTAAATATCAGGAAGATTTTGGATCAAATGTAAAAAACCAAAAAGATGTTGAATTTGATGATTTCACAACATTCATATTGACAATGGCGTGTTCTACCGATATAATTTGATCGTAGATAAATAGATCTATTTCCTCCGGTCCACAAGTTTGGTTCGATCCTTTACTTCACTCAAACAATTGGTTGGCTGGATCCACTATCACAGACACAAGAAATATGTTTTATTCTTAATGGAATTGATATTCAAAATGTTAAGAAATATAAATAAAATGAATATTTTGAATTCAAATAAAAAAATCTAATAAAATAAATAAAAATAAAATAAGAATCTAATATAGAATTGACACATTGAATTGACTTACTTTATTTGAATATTCTATTCAATTTCTCTTTTCAATTTCCAGTATCTAATAGTTGAATTGTCTAGAGCCCCACCCTTATCTATACTTTTTCCAATATATTATAAGGGCAGGCACCAGTGGCCACATGAAATACATCAGCATTTTGAAGAACACCAGAGATATACATCAAATGAAACTCTAATAAAAGATATTCTTGTGATCTATTGATACTCCAATCAATCACTACACGTGGGGCTGAGGGAGGAGGGGTGTTCATTATCAATCTCCTATTGTGAGTTTTTTAGGTTGGGAAAGTACTATATGAGAAGGCTCTTACATGGAAAAACATTAGAAATTCGATCTCCATTCCCTTCAACCTTGATTGCAGCTTAAACAGGGAAATCAAACTTTAAACACTTGATAGATGATGGAGTTCAGCCTTCACATGGTTTTCATATGAGAAGGATTCTCATACAATATACTTCTCTTCTAACCTAGTCTAGTAATTCATAATGTAAACATAAAAGAGTGATAGAGAGCATGGGCATGACAAAGGTACGCACATGCGATTAAATAGAAACTGCTAAAAAATTGCAAGAAAAGTTCACACATAAATCCCAGCATGCATAAGTTCACAAAGAAAAGAAAAGATGCATATGTTCATACATTAGGTGCACCAGGAATGAGTTTGCTAATAGCTCTCTTGCATGCGCTCAACTCTTCCATTAGACTGTAGTTAGTGTGCAAACCTATAAGAAAATAAGAGAAAGAGATCATGAAAATGCCATTGACAAACAAATATTAATAAACTATACCATAAGATAGGTCAAATGGTTCCATGCACTTACGCCCAGATGTATCACATAGAACCACATCAAAACCTTCTTGTTTTCCACGTTTAACAGCCTGGGATAAAACTATCCAAAACACATCCATAAGAATTCATGAAAGCACCGGTTCTAGTAAACTGACACTACAAGTAGTATCAGATTACTCAAATTAGCCAATCTAGAATTTGAACTTCATCATGGTTTTCAGTGGAATACCTGATGCTGCTTTAACTTTCTCTCCTTCACCTACAACTATCTCTGATCCTGTCCTCTCTGCCCATACCTCCAATTGATCACTAGCAGCAGCCCGAAATGTATCACCTGCTGCCATTAGGACCTGTCAATATCAGAGAAAACAGCTTAAACTTACCATGATATAGGGCCGTAAAACACCCGATATCAAGTAGTGAAATATTAAATACTCGAATTGTACTGCTTGATTCATGTTGTTCCTTCCATTTAAGCTTGCTTTTCTTTTTTTTTTGAACTTTTACAAGTGCCTTTTATTCAGTCTCAAAGGATATCGAATAAGTATTAGATAAGCACAGTTCACCAGCTTAGAAGTTTCTGAGGAACAATGATTTTAAAGCATTTTATTGTTTGGGAGAATGTTACCTTTATACCTTCATTCTTTAATCTATGGGCAAGCTTTCCTGCAAGGAAAACAAGTAGGTAACTGATCATAGAGCACACATTCAATTCACTTGACATTTTGATGAATACATCAGAAATCTCCATTTGAATATATTAAAAATCACAATCCTCAAGTCCTACAAGAATCCATAGTTTATAGCCAAAAGAACTTTATACTGCTCAACAAAAAAAGGAAAATACTGGACTTTTCATGTATTACCGAGAGATGTTGTTTTACCCCCTCCATTTACACCCACAACCATGATTACAGCTGGTCGTCTGCAAATTCAACAAAGCAAATTTAGACGGTAGAAAATGCATATGAGAAGGAATCAGTCCAGAGTCCAAAAAAAAAAAAATGAAGACATTGCAGACCATGGAAAAAAACCTGAATCCTAGCTGAAGGTCTGACTTGTTGGCTTTGCTTGTCAACAATTCAAGAACATATCTCTTCAAAGCAGACTGAAGAAAACCCATTTCCCAAGATGGTGAATGGATATTGCATCCATTGTCAAATTTATAGAATTTGCAAATATACGATGGTATTCAAGTTCAAACCATCACTAGTACAATTCCAGAAAATATGACATCAGGGAAAGACCCACCATTATACCTTTATCTCATCTCCAGATTTGAGCTTGCCTGCTAATATTTCCTCTCGCAAGCTTTCCACAATTTTAATTGAGATCTTTGGGCCAAAATCAGAGACCAGTAAAGCCTACACAAATGTAAAATTACATCACTGTGCAAGCACACAATGGTTTTATCCAACAAGATAAGTAACATGCAAAACTACGAAGTAAAACATCATACGCACTAGTTCACATACTCAACATGCACCCAGAGAGAGAGAGAGAGAGAGAGAGAGAGAGAGAGAGAGAGACGACCACTAACTTGAACACAATAAAACACTAATAAATCTAAAACAATATTGTATGCAACACGATGGTATGAAATGTTGGGAAAAGCTTACCATGTGTCTCCATTCACATATGACTTACATGTGTCTAGACTCTAGAGACCCACAACCAACCGATCTTTTGATCAGATGGATGACAGTAAGGCAAAAATAATGTCATGCAACAATTGTGGCCTGACAAACTCAGCTGGTGCCAGCCTATGACAGTTTTCTCAGCTCACTCCCAGCCTTCCTATCAATTTCCAATCACTGGATGGCTCCACATACATGTAAGAAAGCTTGCCCATAAATGTTTATGTTAATTATATGTGTCACCTGAGTTCTTTTATAGCAACACTATGGAGGTCAACAATGATAATAATTTGTGTGCCTTTGCCTAAAGTTATTCATGACTTTCTCTCTAGGGACACCATTCGATGTGCCACCATACACATATAATTTGCATATGCCTATGGCCCCACATCCATTCAATCATAATCAGATTGTTGGGAGTGAGCTAAGTACAATGTCATAGGCTAGAGTCAGTATATTTTTTGCATCAATTTTGTGTGAAAAAAATCTCATCACGGACATGCTATGTCTATGACGGTCTTTAATCCACGCCGTCTGAAACAATCCGACGGCTCCGAGCCTATGGGCAAAAATACTGTTCATTTTCACCCATAAGCGCTTTGTAGTCTCTTCCATATGTATAGGATCATGTTAGGGTGCTCATCCTATGGAATAATTTATCATTGTACTCAACAAAATTTGGACACCTTTGTACCCTTGTTTTGTACATGGAGCATTTTTTCAGCAAGGGTATTTTGATCATTAGGAGGGGTGTGACGTCATCCACAAGGGGTGTGACATACCTATAAGGACCACAAATTTTCCCAGTCATGAGATGCGAAGGGTATTTTGATCATTAGGAGGGGTGTGACGTCATCCACAAAGGTTGTGACATACCTATAAGGACCACAAATTTTCCCAGTCATGAGATGCGCACGGCAATAGTATATAGAAGAGGCCTAACGCCGTATGTGTAGAAAAGGCCTAGCGTCATGTGTGTAGAAGAGGCCTAGCACCGTGAGTGTAGAGAGAGAGGAGGAAGAGCAACACCGCGCGTGTAAAGAGGTATCGCCACGCGCGTAAGGAGTATCACTGCGCGTGAATCTGAGAAATAACGCCACGCGTATAAAGAGGTATCGCCTCGCACGAGAGGAGTATCGCCGTGCGCGAATAAGAGTAACGCCACTCGTGAAAAGGAGTAACGCCACGCGTGAAAAAGAGTAACATTGCACGTGTAAAGAGTTATTGCCACGTGTGTAAGAGGTATCGCCGCCCGTGAATTTGAGGGCTAACGCCGTGCGTGAAGGCCAGAAAGGGGTAATGTCGCGCGAGAAGAGAAGTTAACGCTGTGCTTGTGTCAATATTACTTGTAAGACTAGTTTAATATGAACAAGGTTTGTATAAAGATTTGTATTGGTTTGTGAAACATTAAGTGTTCTTTGAAGCATGTTAAATTTGAGAATGAGAATTTCCAGAACTGTGACTGTTCTTGATTCATATTTTCCAATGGTCAGATGGTGTCCAAATGGGGCCAAACAAGTTTCGAATGGAAGATATGCTTGTCTATTTCTATTTTGCTTTTTACACCATGTTAAAATTTCGTATGAGTTACGAGATATGCCCCAAGAAGTGAGGTATGTCACTGTCCATTGTTGCTGGGATTTCCAGCAACTGTCACCTTTTTTGCGCCAAGCTTTTGATCTATCAAACGATGTCCAAACGTCTTCAAACCACCACCATTTGAAAGATATATGAATGAACTTAAAGTTGCATGTTGAACTTCTTTTGAAATTTCCCATCGATTAAGAGTTATGCCCCGAAATGTGAGGGTATATCACTGTTCATGGTTGCAGGAAATTCCAGCAACTGTCACTCACCTTGTGCCGAGCTTTTGACCTGTTAAACGATGTCCAAACACCTTCAAACTGCCGCCGTTTTAAAGATCTATGTGTGAGCTTATAGTTGCATGTTTAAATCATTTTAAAATTCTCCCTAGATTAGGAGTTACGCCTCCAAGAAGAAGGGTACGTCACCGGTACACACCACCGAAATTGTAGTCCTACGCTCGTATTGTGTTACCTTTTACTGGATTACTCACTAAGCAACTCATGTGGTGCAGTGTTATCTTTGATAAGCGATAAGCGTGAGTGCTATGCGATAATTTTCATGTAATGAATTCTAAATGCCATAGTGTTACGTGGATGGTGCTATGTAACTATGAGTTATATGAAAATTTATAAATGCCTTGCTACTGTGATAGTTCCATGACGAATGTTACATGACAAGTGCCGTAATGCTAATGCTGACTGCTAAGCGTAATTGCAATGGGATAGCTCTCATATCATGGATGCTTCATACTAGGTGTCATAATGTTATGTGACTGTTGGATAGTTCTGAGTAAGACTCAAACTTTGCATGATGAAAATTTGAATTATCCATCATAAGGCACTGATTTAGCATGAACGAATTTAATGCTTGAGCATGATATGATGCTGTGATAATGACCACTACGCAATGGGACACCTATTGGTAGTGGGTACTGTTCAGTTATAGTACTGTGATACTAGCCACTACGCTATGGGGCACTCATCGGTAGTGGATACTGTTATACTGATACCGCACGCTACATGATGGGACACTCATTGGTAGTGGATACTATTACACTGAAAAAAGTGATGCCGACAATGTTCCCTAACTTGCTGAATGATAGGATGGGGTTAGGTGAAAATGAAATGGGAGGGTTGCACCCCCCCGAAGTTTATATGATGAGACTAGTGAGTGATGCCTTGTAAGGTAAGTACCTATCGAAAACCACAATGCGCGCTGGGGACCGTGTGCGTGAGTATGAGGGCATTACGAAGTGGATTTACTCACTTGTCATTGCCCTCCCTCTTGAGGTAGGGTAAAAGTCCTAAGCAATGGGATTGACTTAGCCTAATGAATAGGGCGTCTACTTCGGGAGTAGGGGAAACTAAGGAGTTTGTGGTTAATGTTTGAATAGTGAATGTGAATGCTGATGATTGTAACGATTGAATGATAACTGACATTTGAATATGATGCTTGTAAGTAATACATTAATCTTATTTCTGATTTACATGACTGTTGTTTTATAACTTCTTATAATTGGAAGAATTGCTTATGATGTATGAATAGACTCATTAACGATGCATAGCACCTAGATTTACTTACTGGGCTTTTTAGCACATTCCCCTGCATCTCCCCTCTTGTAGATTGATAACGCCAGGTCGAGGGCCAAGAGCTCGTGTTCTGCAGTTGGAAGCTGAAGTCCTTTTTACTTGAGAAGAAACCTAGATCTTGTATGTAATTGAAAAGTTTAGCCCTGAATTTTGTTTATTTTGGATAAATGTATTATTGGGGCTTGATGCCCCAGACTCAGGTGTAACATTTTTTGAAGAAATTTCATGTAGTGTAGTTTTATGATGTATGAACTTTCCCCAAATTTTAAATATTTATCTGTACTTAGAATTATTGATTTTCGTTATTTTCCATGGTTTGTTTTGATTACCGAATAGAGGTGTTGAGTCCACTCCAACCTGAGTGACATACGCTACCTTGAGATCACGAACCTACACTCGGTCACCCTCCGTCGCATACGGTAAAGGGATGGGGGCAAGGTCGTGACAATAACCCACATGGAGCATACTAGTGGCATTTAATGCTCCATGTGGATGATGTCACACCCATGTGGATGACGTCACACTCATCCTAATGACCAAAAATACCCTTACTAAAAAAAGCCTCCATATACAAAACAAGGATATATATGTGTCCAAATTTTGTTGAGTACAATAATAAATTACTCCATAGCGTAAGCACCCTAACATAATCCTATATATATATATATATATATATGATAATTTAAAAATGGGGATTGTCTACAATGAAACTATTTACCTTTGATACAAAGAGGTCACAATTACTTTGGGTGTGTCACAAAGTTAAAAAAAAAAATTTTTGAAGTTTGAACTTAGTCAATGAAATAAATGCAGCATCCAATTTCGCATCCAATGATCAAATTAATTGTGACTACCTTGTACCAAAGGTAATTGGTCTTATTGTATAATTTTTCTTAAAAAAATGATATATATTAGAAAAAAGTTCTCGACTTTATTTAGCCCAATCAAATCATGGTTCGGCTAGACAATACCAATCAAATATTGATCTTGTTTTCAACCAAACTAGGCCTAGCTTAGCAGCCCAAACGGTTAGACCAAGTGGTTCAGTCTGGTCATGATAACTATGGTCGTACTACACAGAATGCCAGTTCATCTCAATCTGATATATTATATGCAGAAATGACAGTTTATGACAATTCAACAAAAATGTCTTATTCACTTAAGCCACAGATGAAATCAGGAAAGAGCAGAGTCATAAAAATCACAGCACAAAAAAAAACAATACAAATAAGCAAATAGCATAGGTGGCAAATAACACACATTAAATTTCATGGAAATTCAAGTATAGTTTAGTATGGATGACAATCAAAAAAATAAAAATAATGTTAAAAAAATAAATAAATAAATAAAATCCAATAAATGCACATGAAATTATCGTTTCTTTTTGTATTGGGGTATACTAAATAATTTCAAATAACAATATTATTTTAATAATTCTGTGACGTCGCACGAGTTTGATAATCCACCAAAATTCATAAACAAATCTTAATAACTGGTTAGTTTCTAAACTCTAATTCAACAACAGTAGGAGCAGTGATGAGAATTAAAGAAGAGGTTTCAGAGGAATTAAAAAAAAAAAAAGTGAAAAAAGAATCGCAGAGTAGATACCTCTTCAAGTTCGTCCAAGACGCGATCAGTGTCGGCCAAGTTCCAGTACAAGAGAAGCTCATCAATAACTGCCAGATTGTCTCTGGTTTTCGAAAAACCAGAGAAAAGCTTCTCAACATCGCTCTTTGCTTTCTCTTTCAAAAGACGCCCTAATTTGGTGAAAAACCCCGCCTGTGCGGCTTCACACCTGAACCTCTTCAAGCTCCTCCATGATTGACTCCATGAAGCTCGTCGTCTAGGGTTATGAACACTCGGGGAACCGAAGAGAGAGAAAGTAGAGTTGGCAAGAGATTGTGTTGGAGAGAGACATCGTCCAAGATGTAGAGGGAGGAGAGAAAATGAGGAATTAGAGAGAGAAAACAATGGAGAGGGGGTAGAGCGAGAAAACTTTAGAGAGAGAGAGGGAGAAGCCATGAACAGCACTCTATCCCTTCGTCGTTGTTCCTATGCGTTCGCTCTGCAAATTTGATGGGCCCGAGCTTTACTCAAACGGGTTTGGAATTTGAAAGATTATCGTACATGCTCTTTACAATTGTTTCTTTTCTTTTTTTAAAGGAAAAACAAAATTTCATAAAGTTTATTTATTTATTTATTTATTTAAAAAAAAAAATCAAAAAAAATTTCTAATGATGCAAGACATGTCAATCTATTAAATATTATACTTCATGATTAAGGCCGATTGTGATCTCCTTCTATAAAAAATAAATAGTCTCATAGCATACAATCCATTATTTTAACGTTGCAATAAGGTTGTCGGTCTCTAAAATTAGTGTTGTGATTCCTTATTTGGATGGCTAATTTGAATGGGGCGAAATAAGTTCCTATAGGTCCCAGCCCGGTTTCCCCTAAAACTGTCTTACTTTTTTTTTTTTCTTTTTCTTTAAGTTCATCTATTATTTTATTTGATCATCTCTAAACCTCCACCCCGATGTTGGAATGTTGGGCAGCCCATTCTTTCCTAAAAAGTACTCTTTTTTTTGTATTCTTTTTCATAAGCTTTTATTTTATTTTATTTATTTTTCATATTTTTTGGATCATTATCCAACACAGATATGTTGCTGATTTGAGTTACATTTGACTGATTCTATAGTGTACTATTCCATTTTAAAAACATATTATTTAAATTAAAAAATTAAAAATAAAAATAATAAAATAAGCAAGAATTTGGTGGTTTGGTCGATCTAGATCATCGACGTGCCCAATTCTCTTATTGATTTGGGTTAGTACCTATACATTGGATCAATTCTCAGTTTTGTCAATACCGAATACATATTATATATTATGTTTGAAATTTCAATTATATCTGATGGAGTAAGTTTATCTCGGATTGGACACCATGAGATCGTCACATTTTTTTGTATGAAGTTCACGTATGGCCTGAGATCCTCACATTTTTTTGCATGAAGTTCACATATGGCCTGAGTCGATGAATTATGAAGTTAGATATTGGGATGTGTCATTTTTCTACATAAAGTCTGAAGATATTTTTTTAAAAAAATTAAATGCATTTAATGGTACAGTCTCAACTGCTTGATTTAATTACGATTAATGGTAGGAAAATGGTTTGATAGCTTTATCAAAAAAAATAAATCTTTACTTCATAACTCATCGAAAATTGCAAGTTAAGCATTGGAAAACCTTTACACCGATAATCTCGACTTGAATATTATGGTTGTAAACAAATTAGGATTTCAAACTCTAAAAATAATATATATTGTAACAAATTATCTAGACCGTCTATTTTGATTTAAAATAAATCTGTAAAATCTGTACTGTTTCTTAAGCTTCAAAAATTATTATCTATATTAAAAGTTGATTTAGATCCATCATGAAGATTTATGTTGCCGAAGGTGCTTTCCAAATGAGCATTTGGGGTGCTGCTTTACTTTGTATCCATAAAGCTGAGGCCCTATAGAAACTTCATCCTTAATTGTATCTCTTTTGGACCCATGCAGATCAATAGGTCTTGTTGGGTTTATGTAGTCTTTAAAGACCTTATGAGTGCTTGTAAAATGAAATGATATAGTGGAACATGAACTCAGTGGGAGTGTGGTCCCTCGTGGACCATACTAAGCAAAAGATGTTTGCAGATACCGGACCGTGCTTGACGATCTAGGTCAGTCGGTTGGAAAAAACCCATGTTACCTGGGCATAAAGAACAAATCGATAAGGGTTCTAATGGGTTAACCCTTGATGAGGTCAGAGAATATGCCCGGATGAGTGAGCTGAAGGACTGTGTGACCCTTGTGTGTGATGGTGGCCTACAGAGATAGAAGCCAAAACCTCATCCATGTACTATCACACGGCATGCATCTTGATAGATCATTCGAAAAAGCCAGAAATTCACCTTTTAGAGTGAAACGTATGCATGTACGAGAGATACTCATATGCGTCATAAAACTATGGTCGCATAAGGTCTTGGTGACCTTGACTTGTCTCTAGAAGACGACCTAAAATCCACAAACAGAGATTGCAATTCCTTGGCTCATCGGCCGGACTTTGGTAACCCGCTAATGAGCTCCAGCTTGGACTGTGGGTCATGGGAAACACTGAGTCAGTTTGACAAAGCAAGTGTGGTCTGTAGTCTACAGTTGAAGGTGGAGTGCCCCATGATTGTTGATTCCTAAATCATATGGATCATTTTCCCATCAAATTAATTTAATTGTGTTTGTTTTATGATGAAAATTATTTTAATATTATTATTTGAATTTTTATGAATCCCTGGATATTTTATTTATAATTTTTGGATTTATAAAATTAAAGATATTGATTTTACAATTGTTTAAATATTCAAATAATATTTTAAAATATTTTTATTAATTTTAAATATATAAAAATATCATGGGGGCTCATTGTGTACATGGGCCTGCCATATTTTTAGAATGTGGGGCCCATGAGTGCCTCCTTTGGGTGGCATGCCCTACCCTTATTCTCTTTCCTTTTTTTTGGTGATATGACAAGCCATATGATTGAAAGATACTAACTAAATATTGACTTGATATATCTTTGAAAGATTTTGTGGAAAGATTGTGTAGACTTGTGCTATTTTATGGTATGCGCAATATTTTGATTAAATTTAATTTAGTTAATATCTATTGATGTCCCATTTATGGAATGGATGGCTCAGATCTCTCACACCACAAGTCACCCTTGATCAACGATCTATGTTCAATCTCACAAGAAAATGCAAGCCAAGAAAAACCCTAAGAAACTCTAATATTATTCAAAGCCTATAAAAATAGATTGTCTGTACCAAAAAATCTCTACACCTTATCTTTCTATCTCTCTCTCTTAAGAAAGTTTATCTATCTCATGTTTGATTTCTCTCTCATATTGTGAAAGAACCTAAGGGTTTAGGTTATAGAGTTCTTCTGTCATCTCTCTCAAATATAGATTTATGACTAAGGGTTTTAGGGTTTTATAAAAGAGAATTCATCTCTCAAACTAGGTTGCTAAGAGAATTTATCTAGGGTTGAGTTTGTGATCCAAGGGGCTCATATTCCATTGGTGTGGCTTAGCCGAAATTTGTTTTTTCGGTTCGAGATTGAAGTTAGACTATTGATCCCGCGCCATCGGATGGTGGTGACTCGATGTAGGGTGTAATAAGCCCGGTTAAGGTAATCTCCGGCACTCTTCTTTTTCTTTCTTGCAATCTTATCTTTTATTCTCAAGCATAGTGCATAGTTGTTTCAATGACATCAAGTTGTTAAGATCTTGGTTTTCTTGTTATGTTGATTTATTTTGAAATTTATCTTATTATAATAAAGACCACATGTAAGTGATCTTATGCCAAAAGAAAAGGGTGAATATATATATATATTCCCCTGTAAATGATCACATAGGGCTTTCTTTCTGGTCTTATTGTATACTTTATCAATATGTTTGTCCGAAAACTTCATATACAATAATGGGGAAATTTAACAAAATATAACTAATTGATCAAGTACTTAACAATTTACCATTCTTCAACTGTGCTTAACTCATGATCATGTGTTAATTTGATTTTTTAAAAAACTAAATCAATAAATAATAGTAAAACATTAAATAGTTCAATTTTTAGTTGAATATTGATAAATTTCCCTAAAATAAATCCTCATTTGCTCAAGAAAATAAAGTGTATAATCTAACCATGAGCGAATAAGCTATTTCCCCTTAAATTTACAAATGGGAAAGAGAGTTACATCCACTCATCAATCATGTGTTGGATCGCCGGATTGAATTGATCGGTCCAAATCCGCTATCCAAAAAACACTACAAAATAAAAAGAAAATTTGAAAAAAAAAAAAAAAGGTTTTAATGTGTTGTGATTTGCTGAAATACCTAAGCAAGCATTAGGAATGAGTTAATAAATCTGCCCTATCCTTTACAAGATTCTAACATTTGTTAAGAGACTTGTACACATGCACACTTACAATTTTTGTGGATCATTACCATCACATTAATGAACAAGTAACATGTTAATGTTCGAAAAACATAGTGAGAAATTAATCCAAATACACTTATAATTTCAACTATTTAATATTTTTTGTCTATGATAACGTTTCTTTTGATGGACTTTTTGAATTAAATAAAAATTGAAAAAATGTTAAATAATTCATCTTTTATGTGTATTTCGATATATTCCCAAGAGAGAGAGGGTGGACATGTAAAACGTAAAACACATACTACACCACACGATCACCATTGTTACTTGCAACAAACGATTGAAATTGAATTAGTAATTATAGTTAAATATCCTTTTCTTGAGAATTATGATAAGGGATTATATGCAATAAAATAATTTATTTTTTGTATATGGAGGTCACAACTACGTATAACCATTTGATAAGAAATTTGACAGTTTGGGTGCATTATAAAGTTCAAAATACTTCTTTGAACTCTGAGCTTGGTCAATGGAGCAAATGCAACTACCCAATTTTACATCTAATGATTAAGATTAATTGTGACCTCCTTGTACCAAAGGTGAATGATCTCAGAGTATATTTTTCCTAATGATAAACCACACGCTATGGATTATCGAAATAGAAGGTCAATGGCCATAGGGAGTACCATATCCTATGGTGTATAATATACTTGCGAAGGTCATTGAAGTGTTGTGATTGGACTTTAATGTTTCGTGGTAAATTGGAGTTAAAATAGATGGGGATCATTTATTTATTAAAAAAAAAAAAAGGTTTGTAAAGCCTTTTACCAGTTTTTTCAATTGATGAAATATGGTAGTAACGATTTCTCAGAGTCTAGGGAAGAACTTGTCACGTGCAACCCCCAACTTCAAGACATTTCCGGCAATTTTGAATTGGCTCGGTAAATTTGTGGACAATGCTTAAGCATAATTTTTGTCCCCCCTCTGGGGGGGCCTTCTAGCCGTGATTATGATGTAATGACTATTTTGCCATTGTGCACGGGAAAAGTTTTGAGGGTTTTAGGACCCACACACGTTCATATTAACAACAAGTTTCTTAACCTCAAATTCAAAAAAAATTTGGACATAAAGAAGCAATGATCTGATGATCTTTTGAAGAATAAAAACAAGTGTCATTTTGTTTTTAATCATGATGGTTGAGATGATAGACCTGAAGGATTTTGATTCATAATCATCCCTAATGTGAATTATAATATAAGGGTGGATTCACCATGGTAAATGTGTCCCTAAACCCACCTAAAACCTACCTTATCTTACATAGAATTAAAATTCCTTATGCTACATAGAATTAAAAGAGAGAGAAGAGAGTGAGATCACAACCAATCTCCAAGGGAGGGAGATCACAAATGTAAATTATTTGCATCAGAGATCTCGAGGTCAAGATTATTAATTAAAAGGGCTTTAGGCATCAAAACAACATTTTCTGACAAAATTTTAACGTATATAGTATAAAATTGACACCTTATATAAGTCACTTTTTTTAGTTGGCTTGTAACCATTTTGCTAGCCATGCATTTCCCAAAATCAACTTTCTACCTAATCGAATGCAAATGAGACTCGAATAAAGCCATCTTCAACATTTAGGATTATATACCAGAAGATTACTCGAGGCATTAACGATTAATCCTAACCAGCATATGTCAACTTGAAGTATACCACGAACTTTGAATCTGGTCGAAACGTTCCTAATGGTAAAGAGGGATTATCTCTCTTTCACTAAAGATAAATAGTCTTATTTATTATATGTTTTTTTGAGTATTTTATAGAACAATGCCAAAACAAAATGGTTCATATACAATGAGACGATTTACTTTTAGTGTGCAAAGCAATGTTTAAAAACACAGTTCAGTGCCAATCCAAAAACCGGTATGGAGGATCGGTGATCTGGAAAAACCGGGCCAAAAAAATGAGAAAAATTAAAACAGTCATTTCTCGATATATAGAGGGAACTTGACCGAACCACCAATGCCTGATCCAAATTGAATGATTCCAATCCAAATCAAATTTTTTAAAGAACTTGTTGTATTAAAGAAAAAACATGCAGTTAGATGTTAAAATAAGACGGGTCAAACTCATCACAGTATACAAAAAAAAATCTTTTGAATTCAAGCATAGTTTTACCTTTTGTACAAGAATTATGTATTCTCATTGCGTACTTTCCCAGACAGAGATAAAGAGGAAGCAATGGGAGCAATAGCATGGGAGGCATTTATAGCTCATGTATGCTTCAACCCACAATTAGAGAGAGAGAGCCTTACAACCAATCAGAAAGAGTAAAGAGAGAGAAGAATGCAGCCTAAGAGAGAGAGAGAGAGAGAGCATCAACTATATATAATCACCACATGATCAACTTTATATAATCATCACATGAACATGTTTAACTTTGAAGCCCCCAACAAAAGGAAAAATCAGAAGAAGATGAAGAAAAAGTCACCTGGTGTTTGGGAGGGGAGCTCTCTAATTCTACTGATTGTTTCAGAAATCTAACCATTTAAAAAACGGGTACGGGCCTGTAATCCTCACTGAATTACCCCCCAAAAAAAAAAAAAAAGGTCACCTGGTGGACAATTTTAAAAATGGGTAGGGGCTTATATTCCCCTATGAATTACCCGAAAAAAAAGCCACCTGGTGCTGGAGAAGAAATTACCCAAGGAAACACTAATCTTCCTAATACTTTTTACATGAATTTGAAGCACAATAGAAAGCTTTTCAGCACCCTTCTTCCTTTCCTTTTCCATTCCCAAATATAGGGACCACCTAATAGAGAGAGAAGCCAACACAAAAAGCTTTGTCAGTTTCTATATGAGATAATCTAAAAGTAAAAATAAGAAAACAATTAGAACTAGCTATGAAAATTGTAAGCTTTTTTTGATATGTTTTTTTATTAAAAAAAATATAAAAAAAAGAGGCTTAAAAGTAGTTAAAATTGCATAATAAACGAAGATTAAAACAATAAATGAAAAACCAACCTGATCTGTGCATATGGTTTTGGGTAAGAAGCCTTTCTTCTTCCTGCTCACTTTACAAGGATGTATGGTGTTTGTTTCTTCACTGTCTAAAAAAAAAAAAGTAACAAACTAATAAATTTTGCTTTACATGATTAGAAAAGCCAAAAAAAAATGCCAACCTCAAAAAAACTTACAAGTCATATTATAGCAAAGGCAAGAATTATTGCAATCAAGTTAGTGATAAACACAATAGCTAAGCAGAGAGAAAAATACCTTTGTGATTTTTTGGTATGGTACAATAAAATCATCTATTTTTAGTACAAAAAAGTCACACTCACCTCTACCTATCAGATGAAATCAGCCAGCTCGGAGACAATTGCCTCGACTATAATTGAAGTCCAATAAAAAATTTCTTAGACTTTTGCCGAGATTTGGTACTCTCTCACCTATTTTCCATCTGATGGCTTGAGGTACGAGGGATCTTTGTGTACCAAAGGTATCAGTCTCATTGTATGCAACAAATTCTTATATTTATGAGCATTTTGTGGATTTTGATTTCTCAAGAATATTGTTTGTATGTGAGGCTTTTCAAAGCTGGACCGAACAAAAATGAGCATTTATTCAAGAGCTTTTTCTGTTTCTTAAAAGAAAATAGATGAATTTTGAGAGATCTAAGCGTTGGGCAAATCCACCAAAACTTTGAGGAAAAACAATTGGACATTATTTAGAAATGTGGTAGATGTCACAAAAACTTAGACAAGAGTTTAAGTTTTGGTGAGTTTATAAGCTATAATAGGAAAACTTATAAAAATACACTTAAATTATCAATAATTTAAGATTTTTTTTCTTATTTGCATCATGATAACAGAGTGGTGGCCTCTCCAAGAAAGAGAGACAACCATCTATTTTTTTTTTTTCAAAAAATAATTACTTTTAGTTTCTAAAATTTATTTATTTTACATATTTATAATCTCCATATTACAGGTTTTATAAACCTAAGAAATTAAGTCCAAAATCCATCTAAAAAATACATAATGAAGAAGGTGTGCATATCTACATAAGCCTTCTACGACTAAAAACACCGTGTGCTCCTATTAAAACAAGAAAATAGTAAAAAAAAAAACCATTAAATACTTCATCTTTTACATGTATTTTGATACGAAAAGCTTATATAAGGCGCACCTCAAAAATTTATTAAAAGAAATTGTTTCGATGCCCAAAAAATCCTCAAATTGATCATCTCGACATCGAGATGTATAGATATGAGAAAGAATAGATTTCCAAGTCTTAGAAATAGTGCATCTTATAATGCATTTTTGGTATGTCAATTTTTAAGTTTTTAAAGTGTTCATAGATTTGTTTGATCTACATTATTTTTTAAGCTATAAATTTTATAATTAAAAATAAAACTAAAATTTCAAACCATCACACAAATTTCATCTTTCAATACTATTTAATGGTGCACTTTATTTTGATTGTTCAGGGCCTCGGCCTTATATAAACCACACCTACTTTTACAAATTTCGTATAATATCTCATGACCCTACTCCACCTATTAAAATACTCTAAAAACCCAAAACTAACATTTGCTTAATCAGAGGAGAAACCCATCATTATCTCAAACGGGTGAACTCTGTATAAGGTGTCAACCTTATACTATTGAAGTAAGGTGTACCTCAAATCTACGTTGAATTTAAAGTTTAAGAAATTGTAACATCTATAAACAATTAAAAATCTTAAAAATACTTAAAAATATTGAAAATAGATAATGCGTTAAAAAGATGAATGATTTTTATGATTATAAATCCCCCTCTTTTTCTTTTTTAGTGCTATGAATCTCAACGATTTGAGGGTTTTCCAGCACAGGAAAGACCTTCTCTAATTTGCTCCTCGGTGGCACGAGCCTGCGAACCAAAATCCAGTTAAAAAAAATAAAAAAGACCTTCTCTAGTGGGTTTATTAGGTACACCTTACTCGTACAGTATAAGGACACCTGATATAAACCTTTTCCTATCTCAACACAAGAATTCCAGCAAAAAAAAAACAAAATTAAAAAAAAAGAAAAAAAAAAAAGAAAATTGATGTTGTGAGGAAATTATACCTGGAACCATAAACCCCTTTCCTGCACGAGTGCCCGAATCCAATGTGGAATCGGCCGAGTCAGGCATGTATCGATCGAGTCTGGTGGACTGCTGGACGATGCCCTGCTCGTTGCTGTGAAACATCCTGCGCACGAATGATGCTTCCATGGAACTGAGATACGACATGTGCTTCTCATCAGTCCAGTTGCGATGATCGTAGCCCTCCATCTCTCTCTCTAAAATCCCACCCCCTCTTTCTAAAATTCTCTCCTCCTTTCTCTCTCTAAATACTCGCCTTCTCTCTGTCTCTCTCTCTTAAATCTCCCCTTCTCTCTCTAAAATGCTCTCCCCCTGCACTCGTTGTCTCTCTCTCTAAAATCCGGTGACCGAAAGCTCTAAAATTTCTGTATCTCTCTCTAAAAACATCTCCGCCCTGCTCTCTTTGTCTCTCTCTCTCTCTAAAATCTGGTGACTGAAAGCTCTAAAATTTGGGGACTGTTGAAGGGGGAAGGAGGTTTTTATAGAGAGAGAGAGAGAGAGAATGGAGGAAAAGGGTTTGCTCTTTTTATCACTTTTTGGAAAGAATGGGAAGGGAGAAATATCTATGGATGATACAACTGCATTTTATTTCTAGAGAGAGAAAGCGTTTGGGATATTTTCGCATTCCATTTATAGAGAGAGAAAGTGCTGAGATATTTTTGCATACTAGTTTTAGAGAGAGAAAGTGTTGGGGGATATTTCGGAGAGCCTTTGGACAAAGTATGAAGCACAAATATCCCGGGCCTTGCGGGGATGACATAAGTGCCCCCTGGGTCCGTCCATATTTATTAAAATGCCATTGACCAGGGAAAGGAAAATTGTTGCGTGAGTCAGCCAGCCAGCCAATGTAGGGGTGGCAACGGGTGGGGTCAGGTCCATTTGAACCGGACCCGGACCTAGACCAATTAGACCAGACATAAAATTTAAAATATCTATGTACGTAACTATATCTCATAAATTGGGACCTAAAAGATATTACCGGACTTAGATCCAGACCCAAATAGTATTAGGGACCTAGATTTAGACTCGAACTTGACCTTTTGGGTCCAAGTTTTAGACCCATTCTCGGACCCAGATTAGGTCTACCCATCGTGTACCAGGTCGGGTCCAGGTTCATTGCCCTCCAGGGCCAAGAGCATGCTAACTCACAAGCGTCTATCATTAAGATGGACATTGTATAAAGTGTAACTCCATAGATTCCATATAGACTGTGTGTCAAGAAATAATATAAATATTTATTTTTATTTTTATTTTCATATTCATGATCACCTTGACAAGATGATGAATTCATAAAAAAAAAAAAAGAAAATTTCATATCGAACCTTAATTTCTCATATTATTTCATGATAGACTTTCATTCCGTTTTTTTTTCCAGCAGCAAAAAAAAATCCTTAAAGATTTCACCACACCCCTTCAGTTCTTATCTCTTTTTTTTTATTGACTTTTGACTATAAAAATTAGCTTCAATAAATCTTTTTATACCATTTCAACCTAAAAAAAAATTTAACCCACTTTTTCTTTTTCCGCCCATTAAAAAAGTTTTTGGGTTGAAATGGTATAAAGAGATTATTTTTGGTTAATTTTTATAATCAAAAGGCAATAAAAGAGGGAGATAAAAGATGATTGGGTATGGTGAAATCTTTAAGACCGCTTGAAAGAAAAATAGAATGAATGTCTATCATGAAATAATATGAAGAATTATGGTTCTATACGAAATTTTTCTTAAAAAAAAAAAGATAAAAAATCTACTTCTAAAATAAATTTTAGAGGGGGGACACATTTGTGGGCGGCTCACTCATAGAACCCCATCCAAAAAGGAAAATGGAGATTGTAGACTAATTCCTATGGAGACTACAAACTAATTCCTAAGGCTGCGGTTTTAGGAAATCTATGAAGTGAAATACGACATGTGCTTAAGGGGTAAGGTTTGTATGAGGTGGATACTTTATACTATACAAGTAAAGTGCACTTCTAAGTTTTGCTAGAAGATTCAATTCTAGTCATATAAATCATATAATGGCTTGAAAATATATATTCAATCCTAATTATAAAATTTAAAATTTAAAAAATAATACACATCAAGCAGTTTTGTTAATACTTGAAAATCTAGAAAATAGAAGGTCTAGATAACTTGTTACGCAAAGTACTATTTTTCTCTTGAAAATCTTAAAATTGTTTTTTTACTTTATATGCACATTTCGAGTTCGAGATGTTCAATTCAAAAGTTTTCCAACTCCTTGAAACTCTGTTCTATTGATTTTTGTTGTGCAACTTATCTCATAGTATAAGGTTAAAGCTTTATATGAAGGCCATAGCTTTATGAAATTTTGCAAGGCCACTTGTGAAAAGCTTGTAGAAACTAAAGTTTCAATACTAAAATATTAGTTAATGGCCAACAAATCCGTTTCTACCACGAGTTGTGGAACTTAAAGCTTTAAAAAGCATCAAATCTGGTAGATATGTAGGGACTTGAAATGGGCGAGGCTAACCATTTATAGGGTTTGAAATCCATTTGCTTTTATAATCATAATAAATTTTTCAGCACAAAAACTGTTTTTTTCAACAAGATTTGAGTTGCAATAAATCCACAGCTTTAAGAAACAGTTTCCCATATTGCTCCATTTTAAGAATATTATAAAGTGATTAAAAGTAAGTAGGAATGCTTTTTACTATTTGCTCTTCTAGGAGTTTTAGCAAAACCTTTCAACAACTTAACTAATCAAGCCCATACCCTATTCATATGGAATTATTAAGACCGGACTGAATTGGTGGTCTCGATTGATCTAGTCAAAGTTAAAAGATTGTTAAAAAACCAGTTAGAACCAATGTATGACCTGTTTTTTCTGGTTGGATCAGTTTGTTTTATTAGATTCGACTAGCTAAATGAAATTGAGCAATTTTTTTAATACAATTTACATTTTATAATTATTTATCTATTGTTCTTTCTTTTTCCAAAAATCTAGTCCAACCGATTCAACAAATGATTGGACTGGTTTTGACTAGACCAAACCCCTCACTGGTTCGGTGCCTAATCAAATCTTGATAACATTGATCCATTGAATAAGTGGGTTCAACCAAAGGCATTAGTATTTGGGTTGTTAAGAGGTTAGGGCCACCCCACAGTCTTTAGGGCCAAACCCAATTGTGGTCTGGGATTTGGGCCACATGTTAAGGCCTATGGGCCAGGCTTCATAGGCTCAAATTATTCATGGCCGGACTCAAACTAGCTCGGCCCTAGCCTCATGCCTAAATTTTTTCAATACAGGCCAAGCTTGGGCCTCGTTACCATGAATTCACGCTAGTCAAGCTTGAACCCGATCTCTTAATAGCATTTCTAAGTATACCATACGATGTATGGACATCCACCGTTGGTTCCAGATGGTACACAATAGATAGTAGATATTTTCCTTTTATTATGTTTTGGGGTAATTTAATAGAGAAGACATATCTCTACCAATTGTTTCAAGTTTAGGAATTATTTTTTTTAAGATATCAATAGGATGGTATAAGTGGAAATGAAAACCACAACATGGTATTAATGTGGTAATAAAAACCACAACATGGTATTAATGTTGTGGTGTCAGTAGAAATGAAAACCACAACATGATAACTAAGATGTAGAGGTACTACCACGACTCCAGCTCCCTTTTCAATGGGGGTGGTGTTACCACTTTGGTTTTAGATAATTATGAATCTATATTAAGATTATTAAATGAAAAGGGCGAAAAAAAGTGCAGTCTTGCATTGTTGACGTGTAAAAGAGAGGCCTAAGGTTGCTCTCAATGAGAACAATTTGTCGATGGCGTAGGCAAAAAGTTTCATAAAAGGCAGCCATAAAAACCAGTGTTAGCGTTTGTTTAATATTATTAAGGAAATTTATGGAAGTTTAGAAATAAACTATTTAACAATGCTAAAAGACTTTATACTCAAACGGAAGTATACTGTCCCGCTACTCCCTTGGATAAAACTCAATATAAGGGTAATTTCATAATTCTAAAAGGAATCAGGGAATTTATATGTACTAGAAAAAATAATGTCTCAAGATTAACCAAAGATTGATCAATTTTTGAAGGGCGAGATATAAGTGACAAAAACTGCAAACTTTAAATTTTGTTTCCTTTGAAAATAATCATACTGAGAAAAAATAAGAATTGAAATCTCTATATCATAGAAAAAATAATGCCTCAAGAACAAAAAAACATATAATCTGCAGTATTCT